CGTCCTGGCATAACGTTGACATCGTACAACTTAAGATTATTTGTTCAAAACGTTACCTATAGCTCTATAACTCTATAAAAAAATCCAGAAAAAATCCGAACAAATCCGGAAAATCCAAACAAATCCGGAAAATCCAACAGATTTTCAAAAATCCAGAAAAAATCCGAACAAATCCGAACAAATCCGGAAAATCCAGCAAATTTTCTCTTCAAAAATCCGCTAAAAAATCCGGAAAAAATCCGCTAAATCCGCTAAAAAATCCGCGGATTTTTAAAAATCCGAAAATCCCGTACGCTTTTTTGGAGTGAAATGCCCCTCGACCCTCTCCCCTTAAATGCAAAGGAATGACAGCAGAAAAGGTTTAGCAAAGTATTTTTTATTTATACATCTGGTATAAAGTGTCCTACGTTTTATCAGGGATATACATAATTCATAAACTGTATATCCACACGTACGAAGTCTCGCTTACATTACTGTAATGAGTTTTACTGTAACAAACCTTTTAAAGTTTCCATTGATAGATAGGCTGTTTGCCTCCAATATTTTTTGGTAAAACAGATTAAACTTCTAAAATGTCGCTTACAGAATACGTTAACGATTAAAGTTGATTTAAATATTGATAACTCACAGCGGCACTAATCCATTATACAAGTCTGGATTATTCTTCAATAAGGCCCTCAATGGCCAATGTCAATGAAAGGTCTAATATTATACATGTTGCAAATTACTGTATACACAAAATATGAAATAATTTATATAAAGTACAATACCAGTGTCTGGTGCATATATCGTCCTAGATATTCAAGTTGTACCGTACGCACGGAGGAGTCTTGGCGTTTGTGTGATAACAGATAGCTAGCTACACTTCGACATTATTTTTCTTGATCGTTGAGTTTCAGCAATGTAAATGAAATGAATTTTATAGCCAGTCCATAACGGGTTTTAATCCTGTGCTTTAGCCTTTTACAGTCAAAATAGCACTATTGTGACACATGTTGGCGATGTTTGGGAAATCAAAGGATCCCGTTATAAAATAAATCTTTTGTTTTGAATATCAGACAGGATACACTTCAACTATAAAGAACCATATCGTTCGTTTAATACCGTTTGATCGATCAGTCTGTGTAGAAGATATGTATGTTTCTACGGCGATACGTGCTAAACTTCGCAAGACAGGTGCGTGTGGAGTGTTTTCCTTGCAAGTGAAATATGATCCAGCTTCTCGCTTGAAATGTAACGCAACACTTATTATTGATGACATTCAGGACAGCAGGAAGTCTTGTCATGATCGGTACGAATTTAGAGCAGTTCCTTTCAGAATCTCTTGTTGCAAATTACATTTTTATCATCCGAAATTATAACACATAAAGTTGCAATTTTCCAAACGCAACAAACAGACTCCTCTACTACCCCTCCCTGAGGTCAAATTCAATTTACTCCCAGAATCTGGGGGTTCACGTGACCAGCTCCGACCAGGGTCTTTGCTTCCCAAGAGCAAAGAGCCTGGGAACGAGGTTGTCTCTGCTCCAGACCTTCCCCCGGGAAATTGACGTGACGCGCGCGGGCTGTCAAAATAATATCCGGCAGACAGGTGTTTGCAGGTTAGAAAAATCGTGACGACAACATGGCGGCCTGTTCAGGAAGCCACGAGAAAAGTTGAGAAAAACATAGTTCTTCCTAAAACATACATTTAACCATGCAGGACGGTAAGGTAGCCACGGATATATTTCGAGGATGGTTAATGAAATGGACGAATTATATAAAGGGCTATCAGAAACGTTGGTTCGTTTTAAGCAACGGCCTATTATCATATTACAGGTATGAACGACTACAAATATTAAAGTACCCTTCGCGTTTATAATGGCTTCTCAAATGTTTTGTTTGACATAATTACGGTTTAATGGCTTCCTAATTTATTTAGAAATCAAGCCGAAGTTGCCCACACTTGTAGAGGAACGATTAATTTGGCAACGGCATTTATTTGCACCGAGGACGATCCTTGTAGCTTTGTCGTTTCAAATGGCAGTACTCATTATTTTCATTTAAAAGCATCTTCTGAAGTTGAGCGACAGAAATGGGTTACAGCGCTCGAACTCGTGAAAGCAAAAGCCATCAAAATGTTGGAATCTGGTAAGTGTCAAATTTGTGTAGTTCATATGAAATTTTGCTTCATCAATGATCAAATATTGAACGAATTAAGTCTATTTGTCGAAATTAAATATAATTTTATATTGTCCAGTATGGAATGAAGGTGCACAAATTGGTGCACAACTTACCCAATAATCCCTCTTTGGTGCACATTGGTGCACACAATTTCCTTCTGTTATTGGTGCACAAA